TTTTAAACTCGTTTTGTGCTTGCAGTTAAATGTTTTTGCATTATTATTGTTATATGATGGGACAAAAGAGAGCAGTGATGCTGATGTTAGAGAGCCCCAGCAAGTGCAAAAGTAACCAGGGGGAAACAGGCATGTGTTTTGTAGATAACATCTAACAGCCTGGCCCTGGACAGAGTGGTTTGCCTACAGGTTCAGAGCCACCTACAGTCCTCTCCCCAGTATGTTGTATCACAGAAATTGCTCAGGAATGAGGCCGACTGCCAGACACTTTGTACTTTCAGCTCCCTTTGCTGACTCATTTGGTAGGTTGGAATCAAAGATCCACAAACACATTTTGTTAGCAAAGAGAGCTCACCTGTGTCTGTGATCTAGGTATGAGTCATATGGCAGGGAGACTGGGAACATAAGGAAACATTTGATTGATGTTCTGGGATTGAGGTGGCTATCTATTGGGTCATTAATTTATCATATGGCACAGAACAAATTGCTTGACTATTAATCAGTTTCCTAGAGGCCTAAGAACTAATGCAACCCTTTAAGGACACTTCCTGCATAGGAGGCATAGGACTGTTTATTGGACAAGAGCCATAGTCATGCCTGCCTTTCCTCAGAGATGGGGCTCAATTACTTCCATCCATTTCTTTTATTTAGTCTTTACAACCAACCAGCAAAAGATACATAGGTGAGAAAACTGGGGCACATGTCAGACTCTTAAGTGAGGGGTGATGAGGTCATTAAGTATCATATGTTATGCCCTCTCTAACATGCAACTTCTATATTAGGAGTGCATGGATGAGTGGAGGCAGGATGACTCATCAAACCTCCCAGTTATCCCCCAGTAGGTCTTCTGAGGTTAAGCATTAACCTTGCAGATTTAGGTCATAAATCCATCTATGTCAATCAGATTTAAGAGAGGATGCCCTCCTAGCAATGATGCACGTTAAGAATGTATTCCAAGAGGAAGGTTGAACAGGGGGCACCAAAGGGAGAGAAAATTAGGAGAGGAACTGCAATTGGCAGCTTTTTAAGACAACTAGAGCTATACAGTTGACACTTGGAGAACACTAGGGTTAGGGTCACTGGCCCCTGAACAGTAAAAATTGTGCACATCTTGCACTCACCAAAAAAACTTAACTAATACTTGTTGCTCAACAGAAGCCTCACCAATAACATAATTGACAGATATTTTATGTCATTTATATCATATTCTGTATTTTTACAATAAAATAAGCTAGAGAAAAGGAAAAGGCATTAATAGAATTTTAAGGAGAAGAAAATATCTTTATAGTACTGTATTATCTTTATTGATTCCCCAAGTTCACATCAGCAATTTGCAAGAGCCACATATTAAATCAACCAAAGGAGTTCAAACCCCTGCTGTCCATTCTATTTATCCTTTTAATTCTGTTTTTCTATTGACACATCATCTGATAATATTTTGAAATTTGGGTTTATATTTAGAAATCAGTCCTTATGAGAAACCATCCTTATATTTTAAATAATAAACAAGTAGAGTTATATACAGTTCTTCACAACTTGACTAATGTTGGCAAAGCAAGATAGAAATGTGATGATCTAGACCAAAGCAAAAAAAAAAAAATTAAATCTTAGTGCATGTACTTTTTATCCAAGAAGGCTTTGGGGAGCATTTTCATTGGACAAAGAACAATTATAGAACTGTGTTATGTTAGTTAAATTTTATTTTTCTTAAATAAACAATCCTTAAAATCAAGGGCTCCTTTAACAGGTTTGAAACCGAACAGTATTGCATTATAATATGTTTTTAGAAATCAGATTCCTTTTTAGTTCTTATAGGAGAACCTTTTCTGAAGATTTAAAGAGCCTTTCTAAAAGCAAATAATCACATCCAATTTATTTTTTGGATATGTGTTTATACTCATATTTCTTAAGGTGATTCACATGTTTTAGTTGAGTTGTTATGACAAATTACTACAAATATAATGTTGAGACATTTAAAGCTTCAGTGAGTGTCCATTTATCATCATCATCATCATCATCATCATCTCAGGACCATCAGCAGACAACTCTATCTCATATGGGGTCAGTCATGTATCTAAAATCCACCAGTATCTCCTAACTTAAGATTGCCATGACTGCAAACTTACTTGTTGAATCATGAGTCAAATACAGGTTTTCAATAGGGAAAAAAACAAAGAGAAAATCAGGCAAAGCACTAAATCAAGAAAAATTATCTAGCCAGAAAAAAATTTAGGAAAATATGTAATGTAAAATAAACACCTTAAACAAAAAATGAGCATGCTATTGCTGATAGTGAAGAGTGTCATCATGCTTGTGAGTGAAAATAAAATAGCTTGGAAAATGGATTTTAGTTCTGCTAATAAAGTATTAATCTACGCATGGTATGTAAAGATCAGAAATGAGTTGTTATATTTCTTAAAGCAAGATAAAAGGAAGGAGAGTCATAAGCAATTTATCCTTTGAAAGAGAGTGAGGCAGACAGGAGTAAGGCAAGAAGCTAGGGAGTTGTACACTTGGGAGAGCAGAGAACAGGAAGTAAAGGAGTCCATGAGATTCTAAGTCAGTGGTGCATGTGTCAGTTGGCACTGATCAAGTAAGATATAACTCATGAAATCCTGAAAATGGGTGGGAAATAAGCAACAGACTTTTCTCTACAAGAATCATAATCACATGGAAGAGAAATTGGATCTTGCTCAGTAGTTAGCATCATACCTGCCCAGCTATCCTTAACTGTCCTGCTGGAGAGAGGCCAAGACTCTTGGACCAGACTGAGTCCCCAGGAAACTCATGCAGTAACTGGAGCCAGTACTGAACTCCGTGAGCTGAAAAAAATCCCTTTGTTCCCAGTGTATATACTAGTCTTTAAACACTAGGAGAGAGAAAGAATTACCAATTCAGAATGTGTAAACCCCTAAGAAGAGGTAGGACAGGTTTAGGTCAAGAAAGTAAGGATGTCCATCAGATTAGTTTGCCAAACCTCAGTCATTTAAAAGAATTTTTAAAAATACTAGAAATGAAGAAAAGTCTGGGAAATTAATCAAAGGCACCAGTATATATTAAGAGCCTCTCCAAGCAAAAAAAAAAAAAAAAGGATAAAGAAAAATCCACTTAAGTCCTTGGAGTCTTATTCTAAAGCCATCTTGGCAGGCCTCCTCTGGTGGCGCAGGTGGTTGAGTGCAGCACTGTGAAGCTGTCCGCAGCCTCTGCAGCGGCGGTTTGATCCCGGCCAGCCAGCAAGGGTCCCAAATGGCACTGCAGACCTCTCCTGTCTCGCACCCACTGCTCCCCCCAGTAATGTATTTCGGTCGTCTGCCTGTTCTGGTCCCCGTTCTGTTCTGGTGAATCCTTTCACCCTTCCGCACATCTGGCCTGTACCCTGGTTCTTGTATAAATAAATAATCTTTAAAAAATAAATAAATAAAGTGATTTTGGGGGACAAGTTATAGGTGAAAACATTTCACACAAAGCTCTTCTAGAACATAAACTTCTAAACTTTTATGAACCCTCGTGTTTTTAAAATACCATGTGATCAAGTATAATGTTTATAATTCAGGCATTTTTCCCCCAATATTGGATTGAAAGCAGTAATTTTTGTAATAATCTAAGACTAGTTTTGCCAGGTGCTTTGCCAATTTTGAAAGGGTTGGGGAAACAGAACATAAATAATAGCCTCACTTCTTTCTCATCCTTTTCATCATGCTGACAGTTTTCCAGAGAATCATTACAAGAGTGGTTTGTGCCATTAGAGATAAGAGACTATCTGTGTTTCCACTAGAAACCTCTATTTTCCAGACTGTATAACTCATCCATAAATATTCACTCTAGGCAATAGATTTCATATATAATGATTCTGTCCCTCAAAATCTGTATTGACTTAACCAAATGATTTTTAGATATCATGGAGACATTTATACTACAGAAACATTTATACTACAGAAAGAATAAAAAGAAAAATTAAATGCAAATAAAATGTTATGTTTCGTGGGTATGATTTGAACCAAAATACTGTGGAATCTACAAAACATGGACATAGCTCTTTCTTACCAATTCTTTCAAAGTATAATTCAGTTGTAATAAGAATTATAAAGTGGTATGCAATCTGTTAATTCAAAATTGTCACATTCAATTTATTTCTGTTTCTATAAAGGAAACTAACTTTGAAGTTGTATTTTTCCAGCAAATAGTTTTATGGAACTTTCAAACACTATTCACCCCATTCTCTGTGGCAGAGTCTGAGATGGAATTTTATCAAAAGCTATGAAATTTTATGATATAAACCTTTGAATAAAATAATGCCCTTATCCTTCCAAGATATATTTGAGATGTATCATTATCTTATGTCAGATGATTCTAGCTCCTTGATAGAAACTTTCACCATTTGTCTCCTACCTGAAAGAAAAGACCTCACAAATGTAATGTTTTTATAATACTAAACTAAATATTCTTCTATCTGGAAAGATAGACGTGTAAAAATTAGGAAATGGACTGGAGCTGTATTGACCCATTGAAGTGAAATACTTTTACTAATCTCATTTAATTTTTTTAAAGATTTATTTATGCATACAAGAACTGGGAGACAGGCCAGAGGTGCAGGGGTTAAGAGGATACACAAGAGACAGAGTGGGGAACAGAACAGGCAGACTGACTGAAATACACTGCTGAGGGGAACAGGGGTGAGACAGGAGAGGTCTGCTGTGCCATGTGGGTAGCTCCCAGGCTGGGAATCGAACTCATGCTGCAGTGGCTGTGGATAGCTTCATAGGTTGCATCTTAACCCCTTGCACCACCAGGAAGGCCCTCATCATTTAAATTGTTGTGTTCATGGTTGGTTTTACATTGTTTGAATTAAATACTCATCTTGTTGCACTGTTGACCCCAGCTGTGTATATATGAAAAATGCTGTTTAGCAAGACCCGAAATGTTGTTGCAAGAATTTCCCTGTGCTTTCATATGTGTGCATTCAAACCCTAACCTAAAGTTTATCTCTTCTTTTCCAACAGCTATTTTGTGACAGTAAAAAGGTGGTTCATGCCACGGAGGGGCTGGATTGGGAAGACAAAGATGCTCCAGGGACACTGGTTGGAAATGTGGTGCACTCAAGGATCATCAATCCTTTGCGCTTGTTTGTTAAACAGTCTCCCGTGCCAAAGTCCGGACACTTGGCTTATGCAGACAGCATGGAAAACTTTTGGGATTGGCTGGCTAACATCACGGAGGTTCAGGAGCCATTGGCAAGAACTAAACGGAGGCCAATAGTAAAAACAGGAAAATTTAAGAAAATGTTTGGATGGGGCGACTTCCATTCCAACATTAAAACTGTTAAACTCAACCTCCTCATCACAGGGAAAATTGTTGACCATGGAAATGGAACCTTCAGTGTTTATTTCCGACATAATTCCACAGGCCTGGGCAATGTTTCAGTGAGTTTGGTTCCCCCTTCCAAAGTAGTGGAATTTGAAGTGTCCCCACAGTCTACTTTGGAGACCAAGGAATCCAAATCTTTCAATTGTCGCATTGAGTATGAAAAAACAGACCGGGCAAAGAAGACCGCCCTTTGCAACTTTGACCCGTCAAAGATCTGCTACCAGGAGCAAACTCAGAGTCATGTTTCTTGGTTGTGCTCCAAGCCCTTCAAGGTCATTTGCATTTACATTGCCTTTTACAGTGTTGATTATAAACTTGTGCAAAAGGTCTGTCCTGACTATAATTACCATAGTGAGACACCATACTTATCTTCTGGATGACTCCTTCCACAGTGATAGAAATGACACACAAGTATATATTTAATTAGAATGACCAGGAAACAAGCCCAACTCTTCATGGTAAAGGATCCCTTTTGTTTCTGGCAGTGAATCTTAGTTCCCTACAAGGTTTCCAAATTAAAAAATGAAGAAACATCTTTTAATGTGAACTGTGTTTGTTTCAATCATAAGTACCTTAATCAAAAGAGTTAACTGTCTATGAAGCTTATGCTTTCAAGTAGGATGGCTAAGTGTCCCAGAAATGTTGTTTCTCTAAAAGAAGCATCAGTAGGAGCCACAAAATAAAACAAGAACGAACCAAATTATGCATGTGATACATTGCTCTTGAAATGAGCCTGCCTTTGAAATATGTTTTGGAAGGTTACCATAAAAATAGCAATTTCAGTCAAGTAACTGAAAAGATTGTATTTGATAGATAACTCGCATTTCTGACATTGAATTCTTTTTTCATTGCTGTCTTTTTCCTTACATCTGTGCTGTTATTGATATCAGAGATGAGGGATTAAAATTTGTTTCAAAACTCATGTGTGAAGTTACAGTGCCAGAGTGGAACGAAATACATTATTATTTGAGCTAGAGTTGAATGGAATGTGATTTAAACACTTAGCTCTGTGTTGGTCACCATTCTTATGATTCTCATCTGACTAGGAATATTGGTGTGTTGGGGAAGCAAATCTGGAAAAATTATAAGTCAGTTCAACAGTAATGAAGACCATGTTTTATATTCTTTTGCCAAATATAATGCTGTGAGGTGGCTTAAAAATAATAAATTTGTATTTACCCTATAACTTCATTCTATTCATTTGATAGTGTGATTTTATATACGTGAATAGAGCAACTCTGAAACTGAAAAAGAATGATTGTTTCCCAGACTACAATGAGAAAACAATTGTAAGTAAAGGGAAGAACTTCCAAAATTATGGATTTATTTCCAAACTTTCATGTTAAATTATCTTTTCATTTAATTATTTGAGTATCAAATTATATGTGGGAATAAAGAGTTATATACAAACATTACTAAATGTTATTAAGTATTAATAACCAAGGTACTTGCCAGGTGTTTGAGCTTATTTTTAAATTAATGTTGTTTCCCAATCAGTATTCTTCTCATCATCCTTAAAGGGGCGATGTGCTAGGGGGAGGGGGTGGGAGCTGTCATCCAATGTCACAGAGCTGAATCCTCTTGTATTACAAAAAAGAGGGTCTCACTGACCAGTAAAGTTTCTAGAACTTGTGAAGTGGTTACTCCTTTTTACAAAAGATGTTAACTGCCCCCTTCTTATCTGTAAAGTCAGTTACATTAAGTTGAGGACTAAAGGAAAACCAGTCCCAACAAAAATGCTCTTACCACAATGTTCAAAAAACTGACATCTCTAGTGTCTACTTAACATCTCCACTTCTTTCCTTTTATGGTGATATCTGCACAGTGTTTGATTTGTCTTTTGTAAAAATTGTACTAGACTTAGTGTATGGTAGTATAAGCTTGAAATTTTTGCTCTGAGTTCATCAGGTGCTTTTGTAATTTTGTGGTTGGTGTGAAATATTTTGAGACATCTTTTATTTTCATCTAGAAACAAGATTAAAATACTATTTATTGTAAAATATGTGGAAACCATATATGTATATATACTTAGAATTTTCTGTGTACAGGGAAATATGTGTACACATTTCTATGTAAATAAAAAGATCTTTGGTAAATCTGTCACATGACTTTCAGGGTGCTTTTTCTAAAGCCTGCTCTGCTTGTTTCTTTATTCACATGAATTGTGTGTGTGTGTGTGTGTGTGTGTGTGTGTGTGTGAGTAATGCCAAGTAAGCATTAAGATTTCCTGAAAATACATAAATAAATAGATCATCTTGGCTACGGAGATTATAAAGCAGAGTAAAAATATAATTTATATAAAGCACTTGGCATATAGCCTGGCATCTAATAAGAACTCTATCAGTATGAATTGCCATTATGATTGTTATTATTGTTACAACATAAAAATGAGATTTAAAACTATCTGGTGTACAAAAGTTGAGTGATAAAAGCATCATATCCATGCAAAGAAAAAAGGAACTATAAATCAGTTTACATGATTCTTAGACTTTAGCAGGGTTTGTGGAATTAAAAAAAAAAAAAAGTTTCCCTAGGCATATTTTTAATTGGGATAGAACATATGCCACATATATTTTTAAGTCATAATTTCATTTCAAAGCCTACATAATTGTCAGTAATGGTACTTGGCACAATATAAATCAGATTCCATTTAGACTTGCAAATGCACACATTTCTACAAAACCATTTTTGCCTTTGAGTACTGCGGTTGAAGAAAGGACATTTATGATAGCTAATTTTATATGTACTATTAAAGGAACACACTCTTATTTGATAACCAAATAAAGAAAAGTGGCCAACCTAGTTATTAACACATAAAAGAATAATATTTCTAAGAGGGTGCAGTCTACACTTAATCTTCCAGTTCAGGCCCCTTATTTGACAAGTAAAACTGAGGTCATATCAGACTAAAGGATCTGCCCCATAGCAAGTGACAAACCCAGCTGAAATGTGTGTCTCTTGACTCCTAGTCCCAGGTCTTGCGTCACATAAGAAAGGTAAAATTAAGTCAATACTCCACACAAAATAAAAATATTTTCAGTGAATGTACAGCAAGACATGATCCAGAAGCCAAAACTAAACATGAAAATAGCTGGAAATGTAATTTCTCTATGATCTCAATATTTAATAAAATTAAATTACAGAAAAATAAAATTAGGATAGAACAAGCACATCCAAACTAAGAGTCCTGGAAAACATTGGAGGCCTCACTATCTGAATGAACAGAGTAGAACACTGTATTTGGCAGAATTTCGAAGGGATAACACCTGAGAATATTTTTTCATAGAAATAGTCAAATTGCATGGAATACTTAAGTGCCTAAAGGTCTGGATTTACATGATTAAAAACTCTTAACTGTCCCTTAAGATAGGATGGAATCATGTATCTTTACTTGCAGTAAAATTATAATTACACCCAGGTTAATCAATCAGAACTTTTTATGAATGGACATTTAATATCTCCAATTATAAGAGACATGTAACAGCAAAACAAGCACATTTTAAAGATATTTTGTCAATAAAAATCTTGTAAGAAATATTCTAAAGTCATTTCATAATTACCTAATCTTTCCCCTAATATTGTGGGGTCTGGAGCCTGACAACTTATTCCATTCTGCTTCATTTTTAATTTTTCCTTTTTGTCATCCAACCTAGCTCCTTATAATCTCTTCTCAGAAAAAATGAGTTAACATTTCTGTGTCTCTGGATCAAGAAGATGTGGTACATATATACCATGGAATATTACTCAGCATTCAAAAAAGATAAACACATGCAATTTGCAGCAACATGGATGGCGCTGGAAGGGATCATGCTCAGTGAAATAAGCCAAAAAGAAAAAGGAAAATACCGGATGGTCTCACTCATAGCAGGAATCTAGAAAACTTAAATAAGAGACCAGGAAAATGAATAACTATAAGAAAGTGAAAATCAAAATCAACAAAAAACTATGAACCAGAGACACTTTTTGGGGGTGGGGGCAGGAGGGGAGGGATTGGGGTCAGAATGGGGGGTTGCAATTGTATGCGGAATATAAAAATAAAATTTATTATTAAAAAAAAAAAAACATTTCTGTGTCTACTACAGTACCTGACATGTTAGTGGATACTTGATGTGTTCTGTAATGATTTGATCTGCCACTTAATTTTTAAAAAAATCTTCCTCTCCCTGGTGGTACATGGGGTTAAGTCTCAGTACTACGAAGCTGTCTGTAGTCACTACAGCATGAGTTGGATCCCTGGTCAGGAAACTAACCCACATGGCACAGCAGACCTCTCCTATCTTGCCTGCTGTTCCCCTCAGCAGTGTATTTCAGCCCATCTGCCCGTTCTGTTCCCCACTCTGTCTCGGGTGAATCCTCTCACCCTCCCACTTCTCTGGCCTACATCCCAGCTCTTGTATGCATAAATAAATAATTCTTTAAAAAAATATCTCCGGTCCCTTGGTGATTTTTATCACCTTTTCCACCCACTTAATAAGAATTATCTTGCACCATTTCCAACATCAACATTTTACTACAACTCAACACAATACCCATTGAATGCTACTTGTAACTACAGAAACTTAAAAACTGAAAACAATGTTAGAATTCATCTTAGAATAAGTATACAAAAACGAATCCTAGAAATTTGACTTTAAAATTGAGGCTACCAGACCAGAGGGGATGCAGTGGTAGAGGCCTATGGGTGCCTTGGTGGTGGGTAAGGTGTGGTAACATACATCTGAAAAGGTAGGATCCTATACTTTCTGAATCATCATCAGTGTTGTAAACCAGTATCACCCCATATAAAAATATTTATAAAAAATATTTATGGCTCTTCCCTTCTTTCTCCAAATTACTAATATTCAATTGTGGTAATAGAGACTGTCAGTTGTCCACCAGAATGGACCTTGCTTTTTCTACCAATGCTATGAACGTCCAGTTTGTGGCTGCCAACTATCAATAGATAACATACCCCTGCCTCTAGTGCAGTGAGGGGCGGCCTGGTTGCTGAGCTACAGTTAATGGAATGTGCAGGCTTTTAGGAAAATGTACATGTCAATGTATTGAGATGTGCTGGTGCTTCTCTGTGATCTTTATCCTTATATCTGGGTAGATGTCCTAAGGGCCTGCAATCTGCATAGTGAAGGAAGCAGACCCTCTAAATGCCTTTCTTCCATGCGAAGAGAGCCATCAGACTAACTAAGAACCCATCCTTGACTGCAGTATGAGACGAAAACATTATTCCTTAAATCACTGAATTATTAGGATGAATTTGTTACCTAACCTAATACAAGTTTTGCATAAAACCTCTATTTGAGGCCACGCTGATCTCCATCTATTTGAATTGTTTCCTTCAGTCTATTTCAGTAATAATTTTATATGCACAATTTTCAATTTGCGTTATTATTTATAATACTTCATGTGTTTTATCATCCAAAGAAAGTGGGGGAAATTTCCTAAAAAACTGAAATTTAAGAGTAATGTTAATTCTCCACCAACTAATACAGGGAAGAGTGTTTATTTTCTTTATTTTTTCTTAAGTAATACACTTACATGGAGCCATAAGCCCAATGGTACCAATTTGATAAATAGGTGTTCTTCCCACCCCTTTTATAGCACCCTGTTTTCCTCTCCATAGTAAGAGTGTAGTATAATTTCTTTCCCTATCATGGCAGAGATAAATTAATATTTATAAAAATTGGGTTTTTTTAGATTTATTTTATTTATGCATACAAAACCCCAGGGTCTAGGCCAGAGGTGATTCACCAGAGACACAGTGGGTAGACTAACAGGTGGGCTTACTGAAATACACTGCTGAGGGGAGCAGTAGGCATGAAAGGAGAGGTCTGCTGAGTCATGTGGGTCAGCTCCCTGGCCAGAGATGGTACTCAGGCCACAGTGGCTGGTGATAGCTTGATAACGCTGAGACTTTAACCCCTGTGCCACCAGGGAGGCCCTGTATATTTATAAAAATAATTTTCAATGGTTAAAATCTTTTCTTCAATTTTCCAGGATGCTTACATGGAGCATTATGAACCTATTATTTATCACTGTTTTCTATTTTAATTTAGTAAATCACTTTCAAATGTCAAATGTTTATTTAAAAATACTATCCCTAATGCCCATCACTAACAAATTAATATAATTATTCTTATATTTTCCTTCTCACCCTTATCCACATATAAGGAAATGTGTTGCCGGGGACCAGCCTCTGGCAAAACGTCTTGTCAGGGGTTCCTGAAAGGATGAGACGGCGTCGGCGAAAACGAAAGATCTGAAACTTAGGGGCTGAAGGGAAGGGGATGAGGTAGAATGAGGAGACACTGACACTTGGTGAGGTGTTAGTATCTTCTGCCGAGAGACTCAGCAGGTCTTTATTTATTCATTATTAGTAATAATAATAAGGAAATACATTATCATGTGTAAAGCAAAAACAATTAGTATATTATGTTTCCCATAGACTACTGGCCCCTACGGGTCTCAGCTAGACGGCAGCTTTCAAGGTTAATAGATAATAAACCAAACCTAACATTAAAGCTACTTATTTTTTCATTTAGACAATTTTTAAAAACAGTGAATAACCGCCAGTGCATCCCTATCAGCTAAAGCCTAAGCATCAAAGGACTATTCTATTCACATGACCTTCAGCCGGAGACCAGCTGCTGCTCAGTTATCAGAACTTTTTCTACCTACAAACTTCTTAACACAGTTAACTTCATTTAAAAACTTTCCTAAGAAACTTCTAAATAAAAAGGAAACTTCTAAAAATCAAAACAAGGATATACTATAATTGTTATGCTGGATTGCTTGTCAGATATATACAATAAATTGTCTCCCATTGATAATTGGGCCGAATTGTGTAGTAACTAATTTCTAAACAGGTAATTTTCTGTGCCAATTGCTTGCAGTCTGCTGATACATATAATTTATAGCCTAATGTACTTTTCTGATAAATTTTTCTCTCTCTATGACCAAGAACAAAAAGCAAAGGGATACCAGATCTTCAGCCCCACGGTGTGAGGCCTTTTCTCTTAGCTGCTTGTCAGTATTCTATCTGGCTGGAGCAACAAGGCCTCCTGCAGCAATGTGTATACTATATAGTTTCATATATGTAGTTTTTATGTAGTTGCAGTTTTATTCAGTATGGT